AATTTAAAAGTTATAATTAAAACAAATATATAATTTTATTATTAAATATGAAATGAAGTGATATTTAACTATAATTTATATGATATTTCTATTATTAATCCAATAATTTAAGTTACATTTCTCTTGATTTCAATTTTATAACTAAAAATACAATATGAATATAATACACACGAATTTCTAATCTTTATGAATAAGAAGGTTTCAAAATATTTTTAAACTTTCATTATTTTCTTTTAATTTTTTTTATCTAATTTGATTTTAAATTTGAATAAAAATTTTGATTTGATATGAATTACTTTAACTTTGTCATTGAATTTTGTCAATTTTTAAAAGAACTTTCATTCTTACTACAATTTTTTTTCTTTTCACCAATTTTGATGGGAAAAGTATAATTTTCAACGTTTCATTTTTTTTAAAATTTTTATCAAATTATAATTTGATAAAAAAATATATTACGGGTTGAAGATTCTCTTAATTGAAATTATAGTGAAATAACATCTTGAAATAGTCAAAGTTTGAGTATGTGGTTGGTTGAAATGTATAATTTAATTAATTCTCTTTTCGTATTTGTATAAAATTGACACTTTATAACCATTATAAGTTGGATTACAAAAAAAAAATTGGGGTGTCAAACATTTTCCAATTTTAAACATCCTACATATTAAAAAATGAAAAAAAAAATGTGTAGCTTTTTTATATGTATTTATCATTTTTTTTTTCATGGACATAAACAATTGATGTTTCAATTTAAAAAATTAAAAAGTAAAAAAAAAATAGACTGGATTTTTTAGAGATAAAAGAAATCATCTGACTCTTCTATATACTATTAAAATGGACTATTTTAATCACATAAAAAAATAGAAATTATATTTAGAAATTATCCTTATATATTATGCTATTATATACAATTATAGTTGTAACAAATTAACTATAATATAAATGAAAAGTTATATTAAACTTTCATTTTCAATTAATTGAATTACAATTAACAAACTAACAAATAGCAGTAATGGTCTAATGAGATAGAGAGAGGATAAAAATAAAGAACACAATGATATTTAAAAGTTTTAAGTTTACCTAGTTATACAAAATCTAATGTTATAATAAAATTTTGAATTCTCAATAAATTTTCACATTTTTTATAAAACAAAATGACAACAAAAAATTTTAAAAAAAAATCGATACTCATTTTTTTACTTCAATTTTATGGTCTTCAGTGAATAAAACAAAATTCAATCAAAATTCTTGGCATGGAACGGATAGAAATATTTCGATTTCAACCATAATTACCAATAATTCTTTTTTACTATGCAAACCTATAAACAAACACATAAACCTCACTAAACTAAAATCAAAACCAACCAACAATAGAGAAAGAGAATCACATAGGGAAAAAATAAAATTAAAAAATAAATAAATTTATAAAGTGGAGAATATTACCTCCAATAACTTAAACCATACCTAACCCAATCCGTTAGCTCCTCTGTCAGTGCCCGCGAAGTTTAGGAGTTGAGATGACTAATCAGATTATTCTTTAAATTAGACTTGAAAATTGATTAATTTTTCTCATTAAGTGATTTAAAATTTTGATATATATACATCAGAAAAATAGATAATTATATTACTAAATCAAAATTCAAATTTAGATATTGTCATATTTTTTTTAGATCCATATTTAAATTCTTATTTTTTTTTATTTTTGTATGATTTCTATTCAGTTTTTTTTTTAAAAAAAAAATTATTTAAGATGGAGTTGTGGTTTTCTTTTCTTTTTTTAATTTAATTTATCTGTGGTTTCTATTTGTCTTTAATTATTATTATTTAGGTAAGTTATGATGTAAGTTAGATATGTGATAGACATGTAAGTTTTATTGATTTAAAGTATAATGGTGGGCGATATTTTCAAATTAAATTTGTTTAGATAAATTTTAAAGATTTTTAAAACTTAAAATCGGATATTGAGATGCAAAAGAAAGATTTTAACTAAATACATAAAAATCAAATTTATCAATTTTATCTGTTTGTATATCTGATTTTTATTTTTATTTTTTTCTGTTATGTTATAACATAGTATATAAGATATACATAGATATCTACAACTTTTATGAAAAATATTATCTGATTTTTGGAAAAGAGAGAAAGAAGGCAAATTTTAATATTTTTTTTGAAAATCGGTGAGAGATATTAGGATGGAGAGATTATGAAATATTTTGTTATTGAATAAATAAATCAGTCAATAGTTTTTTTAATCTATTTTATAAATTAAAAATCAATAATTTTAAAAAATTTATTAATTTGTTCCATTAAGTGATTTAAAATTTTGATAGATATATATATAAAAAAAAAGATAATAATATTACTAAATCATAATTCAAATTTAGATGTAGTTATATCTTTTTGAATTCCGTAGCTAAATTATTATCTTCTTTATTTTTGTGTGTAACCATAGTGTAAGTGTATGAGAAAAATTGAAAAGGGTGCTACAATAATTATGAGAAAAATCAAAAAGTTTGTGAGTTAGGAAAAATCAATAAATGAAAAGGTTTTTTTTTTAAAAACCAAAAAATTAGAAAATTAGAATTAGGATATTGGAGCTTCCACAAAGCTTGTAGATTAAAAATCTCATTTTCCTTATATATATTCTTTTGTGAAGTAGGTTAAAAGTCACTTCTTAACTTTTAACCTATTTTGAGTCACATCATCTCCCATATTTTTACACATTTTTTCAAAAAAAATTAAAAAGTCCACCTTGAACCATTTTCTCACCCCTGCCTCTGTTTGGGAAGGAAAAGCCCAGGCTTTTTTGGCTAAAATAGCCATAAAAAACAAAATAGGCTATTTTAGCCACAAAAAACAAAACATCAAATCCAACCCATAATCATTACAATCCTCTCTTACAAAAAAAGTCAAAAAAGTCAAAAAGCCAAAAAGCCCTTCCCAAACCAGGCTAAAATAGCCCAGGCTAAAATAGCCAAAAAGCCAAAAAGCCAACCCACTTCCCAAACGGAGGCTAAGGCCAAGTTTGGAAAGACTAAAAAAGTGCACTTTTTTGTCTTTTTGGACTAAAAAATTGAGGTTGAAAATATGAATGTTTGTGTTAACTTTTTGACTTTTTATTGAAAAATGTGTAATAAAAAATTGTAAAAATTGATTTGTAGGGAAAAATTTGAATTGAGAGTTGTGCAGCCGTAATTGTTGACTTTTGGTAAATAGTGTTAACTTTTTAGCTTTTTGAGTAACTTTTTGACTTTTTAGCTTTTTTGAATCTTCCCAAACTTGCCCTAAGTATGGCACGTGCTGAAGGGTTTCACATTAAAGAAGTTCTCTTTCTTTTGTTTATTTATGGGAAGTCGAATTACACTAATCGTCCTTATAATTTGAAACTTGTGTTATTTTAATTTATAATTTTTTAATTGTAATATATTTGATACTAAATTTTGAATCTTATTCGAAATATGAACAATCAAAGATGTTTCCTTTGCAAACAGTACATTTTTAAGGACAATGTCGTCATATAACTTATTTTATATTAATTAACTTGTATGTTATTTGAAATTTAATGGCTTATTTTTTTAATGAAGAGAGTCCTGAAACTTGCTTAATTATAAAATTCTATTTAGTTTGGTTTTCAGAATCTAATTTCAAACAATTTTTCTAAGAAATTAAAAATTAAATTGGTGAAAAAAAATTAAAAAAAAAAATCATTTTTATATAATTTTATTTTTTGGCAGGATAGAAATAATATTTTTAAATATTTTTTTATTTATTTTTGTTAAATTATTTTATATTTTTTAAAAAGTTAAACACAATTTTGATATCATTATTAAACCAATCTATCAAATCAAAAAGTTCAAAACTAAAAATATTGCATATATTAAATATAACGATTATATATTAAAAACTTAATAATCATCCATTACATGATAATCATTCAAAAATATTTATTAACAATAAATACAACTATCTATTATATGATATAACCATCCAAAAATATCAATAAAGATAATCACCCAATATATTTCAAAGAGTCACAAAAATAAAGGGCAAGATAACTGAGACACAACAAATATTTCAAAGGGGCTTATAAATGGACCATATATTTAATCAAGACATTACATCCTAATCTAATCTAATCTAATTAAAATTTCAATCAACTATTAATCACTCATCAGTAGTTGAATTTCAGCAAACAATAAAAGATATCTGCGCAACTCCATCAGATAAATCCCTCAATAATAGTTAAATTTCAACTCAAATTCATAAGAGAGGGACCTCTTTATATTTTATGTAAGGCCCACTACCATCCAATAGGGCTTGGTCAAAGTGGGCCAGGCCTGTGGACCGTGAATGAATGACAATCTGACAAAAATAAAAATTTAAATATGATACTGTCTTTTTAAAATCCCATTTAATAAAAATAAAATAAAATAATTTAAAAGCCTCATCGTGTAATTGTTCCCCATCTCTCCATGATTATTTCTCGTTTTTTTGGCGATTTTTTTTCCTCCAAATTTCACCCCCATTGTTCACTCACGAAAGTTTTTACTGCTAAATATATATAAGTTTTTCAATCGCATATATATATAATATAATGATCCGTCCCAGGGGTGATTCAAAGGAGTAGAAAATTAAATTTTGAACCATTCAAGCCTAAAGGTGGTCTACTCAACTTAAAGGGCATGTTTGATTGGGTGGATTAGAGCATGATATTGAGATTATTAATCCGTGGGCTCAATTATCGTATGTTTGTTTTAACATTTTGATTTAGAATAATTAATCCAATGGATAATTAATTCAACAAATTTGTAGGATTATTAATAATGGGGTAGGGGTGGAATTATTAATCCAATGGATATTAATCTGATTGAATAGTGAATACCACGCTAATTTAATAGAATTATTAATACTTCACTATTAGTTTTGTGAATCAAGCATGACCAAAAGTTATTAGGTCTACCCAACTTAGATAATTAATTGATTTCACCTCCTTGATTACGCACAATTGAATCACTACATATGCAAATAGTTCATAAATCTCATTTCATGGACTCTCAATTATAACCAAACTTAGCAAAACATAGACCACATAAACAAAGTTCATATATCTCTATCAGCATTTAACAATAGTGATAGTGGCAAAAACACAATAGAACCAACCACCATGCCCAAATAACCCCCTAATGATTCAAATCCTCCATTAATGGAATCATAGTAGACGATGGTGGTGGTGGAATCACATCCTCCGCGCCTTCACAGTAGTCATCAAGCACATGACTCTCCTCCGAAGTAAACCCTAAGGTATTAAGCATGGAGGGTCGGCATTCATGCATGATGGTTCGAATGGCTTGGCAACATCCAGGACCAATGTAGGTCTCACCATTGAGAAAGAACATGATGAACTCTCCAATGCATGAGTTGATCTCAAGCATTGAGTCCCAGCATTTCGATGATTCGTTGGACTGTAACCGCTCGGCTAGGCTCGGAGTTGGTTCTGCTGACGGTGCAGAAGCCATTGTTGATGTTGTCATGGCCCATGCTGCAAGGAGAGTGAAAAGGAAGAGCTTCATAGCCATGGTGGAGTGGAGTGGAGAGAAAGGGGTAATTGATGGATGCAATGAAGGAATAGGTTTTTTTTTATAGTGATGGAACAGTCGATGTCATGAACGATAACTTACCTGCATGGGAAAACAAAGGGGCTTGGAAAATTAAAAGTAGCTGTAGAGTGGAAGTGCATCAGACTATATATCAATTAATTTTAGAGGAAATTATAGATTAGTGCACTTTGTTAAAAATAATTACATATCAGTGACAACATTGATCATTAAAATTATATTTTTGTTCATGAATTTGTAATTATTTTTTTTTGAAAGTGCACTAAATTGTAATTTTTCCTTAATTTCACAGTTTATTTGGTGCTACAGATTATTGGAAAAAGTACATACATAAACCCATAAAAAGGGGTGTTGTTGAACTAATAAATTGTACATTATATCTGCTTTGCCCACCGAAAGGGCCATCTCTAAACCTTCCCTCAAAAGGCTTTTTCCTAATTCAAAGCCCAACCCATTAACTACAACAAAGCCCATCAAAACAATTCGTAGCCAGGCCCAGTGATAAATAGCCCAAATATTTTGGGTTATGAAAGGGTTTAATTTTCTTTTTTCTTTTTTCTAATAGATAGGATTCCAACACTAAACTCCTCAATAGTTCTTATATTGCCATTTTGGCTCGAGGCACCAGTTTTTAGGTTAATTGTGCAACACTAAACTCCTCAATAGTTCTTATATTGCCATTTTGGCTCGAGGCACCAGTTTTTAGGTTAATTGTGGTTATATAATGGAAAATGCTATAGGCCGACCTCGCACTCATATAAGGTATTTGGTCATTTGTTTGATAAAAATTAAAAAATGCTTGGGACTCTCAAAGTTGGGGGCTCCATTACTCCCAAAATGATGTGGACCAATTATGTGATTTTTTTTTTGGTTCTTTTCTTCTTGGACCAATCACAAGTGAGTGGGAGTTGTAGAGATGTTTTTTGAAAGTATGTAGTATTGTTAGGTAAAAAATTTAGCATCCCTAATATTAACCTATATAATTCATTTACACTTACATAACTATGGTTGTATATTTCCAACACTTAATTTTGATGGCAAAATATTCAGAGGAAATGAAAATGTGATTTCTGAATTTCTATAATTCTTGTATTTGGAGAGGATTGGAATTAGTGTGACTCCCGATTACTATTGAAGGAGAAATTACGCTCACAAATAAATAAGAATCTAATTCTTTCACTTCTCAATGAAAATTTAATATATACATAGCACTCCTCTTTTGTAACACGCTTGTCTTAGATGTTGGAACTATTAGTGTTTTTGTTTTTGAAAATTAAATTGTATCTTTATTTGTTTCAGCAAAAATTGTTTCAGTATGAAAAAATACAAATTTCAATAAAAATATTTTTTGGACTTAACAAGAGTTTTACCACCACCATTACTGCCACATTACTCATACAACTATCATCACCATATTATTCACATCACAACCGGCAACATCATCGTTTCAAGATTATAGTGAAATGCGAGAATACTTTTTATACAAAACAGATAGAGCAGCATTCTAACTTTCCTTCATAATCACATGTTCAAATCATATTAATATTCTCTTCATTACATGAAAGGATTAGATATCTTTATTTCATAATGAATGACTATGAAAGATGCATATCAACATATTTTAATTTTAAAATCAAAATTAAAATAAATAGAATCAAAATTCCAATAGTTTTTACTCGATGCCATTGTGTATATTTTTTAGAAGGAAACAAATGCACTATTATTTCAGAATAATTATAGGGACACTAAAACTATAAGTGTTTTTGTTTTTGAAAATTAAATTGTATCTTTATTTGTTTCAGCAAAAATTGTTTCAGTATGAAAAAAATACAAATTTCAATAAAAATATTTTTTGGACTTGAACAAGAGTTTTACCACCACCATTACTGCTACATTACTCATACAACTACCATCACCATATTATTCACATCACAACCGGCAACATCATCGTTTCAAGATTATGGTGAAATACAAGAATACTTTTTATACGAAACAGATAGAGCAGCATTCTAACTTTCCTTTATAATCACATGTTCAAATCATATTAATATTCTCTTCATTACATGAAAGGATTAGAGATTTTTATTTCATAATGCATGACTAAGAAAGATGCATATCAACATATTTTAATTTTAAAATTAAAATTAAAATACATATAAAATAAATAGAATCAAAATTCCAATAGTTTTTACTTGATGCCATTGTGTATATTTTTTAGAAGGAAACAAATGCACTATTATTTCAGAATAATTATAGGGATACTAAAACTATTTCAAAAGAAATTACAACATATGTTCTATTTGTGTTGTGTCTCCTTAAAAATATGCAAAATAATCAGCCTGATAAATGGTTACAGCATGAATAAAGATTAGCGAACACAATTTTGCAAAAAAGTGACCATACAAGGTCTTGGTGAATGAAAGCTTTGGCAACTTAGGTTTTGGGCTTTTTTTTACTATTTTAGCTACAAAAGATAAAATAGGCTATTTTAGCCACAAAAAACAAAACCTCACATCTAACCCACAATCATTATACTCTTCTCTCACAAAAAAACCAAAAAGCTAAAAAGTCATTCACAAACCAAATTTTTTAGTCCAGACTAAAATAGCCAAAAAAGCCAAAAAGCTAAAAAGCCAACCCACTTCCCAAACCAACCCTAAACCTCATCTTAATATTTTAGTTGATCCTCACTCTAGTTAAAATGTAAACTTCTTACATTTCTCTTCTACATAGTGTTGATTTGCCTTTAATGGCACTACTCGTATTTATTTTTGATTTTCATAAAATTTCTAAATTTCCAAAAACTAAAAGTATCAAAATCCAAAGGTTCATACATGTAGGGGGAATGATATAAGTTTTTTGGTACAAGCAAGTCATGAAAATTAAAATTTGCCAAACTAGTTTCATCTAACAAGAACACACTATCAAATGTATGTTCATAGCTCTTTTGTACAAAAACTAAAGTACAAGAAGTTGAGTATGGGGAGATAGTATTGCTCGAAGCTCATGAGCTCGGCCTCGAGCCTCTTCTTTCTCCTTCACTTCCATCAAATCTCCATGGCTGTTCCTCCAACTTTCCCTGCAAGGTCGAATCGTTATCTTATCAAGCGACACAGCATTCTCAACCAAGTACCTCACAATCCCAACATCAAGCGAACACCCAACAAACCCCACCAAATCCACAACTTTCAGGCAATGGTGGCGATCATTTTCAATGATTGGTACCCATGTGCCCATTGATTCATAGTTCATAAACCAATACAAACGCAGCGAGAATTTGTGCAAGTAAGGCAATGCGGTTGTTATGGAAGTACAGAGCTGAAATGGGATGTCGAAATCCCAAACTCCCAAGTTCAATTCCAATGTGTGGAGGTTTCTTAGTCCATCGAGTTTTGGGAATTCAGTGAGCCAAGGGTAATTCAATGTCAATGAGAGTGATCGAAGCTGGGACAGAATGCACGTGAAGTGTTTGAATCTATGTTTCACTAAAGAAATGCAATAAGCCTCTAAGAAAGATACCTCTGAAAGAAGTGGCACATTGTCCAGAGAGAGGGCAATTTCTGGTCCCCAGTACTTGAACGAGACGAGATTGGGTGCAGAAATCTTAACCCAATTCAGATTGAAACAGCAACAAATCTCTAAGTATTTCAGTTTCAAGGACGACCCAGAAATTTTCAAACCTGATAGAATTGCAGACTTGGCCAAACACAAGCGCTCGAGCGATGGACACGAAGATAAGAAGCTCTCAATGTGTTTAGCATTGATGTTTTCGTATTGCAGAGACAAGGACTTGAGTGAATCGAAATTGGAAATACAGAGAAATGGGTATGGATATTGACCTCGTTTTGAACTCACTATCTCCAAATCGAACTCATGAACGCATTTCCTGATCGCGAAGTCGACCCAGCGAGCGAAATCGCTTCCAGATTGAACATTAAAGGCGTTTAAGCAAATCCTGAGTCTGTTGAGCGATGGAGATTTGAGGGATTCGAAGATTTTGTTCAAGCAATTCTGGAATTTGTAGGGTCCCAATCGGGTTTCAAGAACACGAACTTGATCTACAGAACCCAAATCCAAATTCGTTGTGAAGGTCCAGAGGTTTCTCCATCTGCGAGAAAGTGTTGATGTTCGAGTGGCTTCTTGAATCGGCAAGTGGGATATGATTGTGATCAGAATTTCATCTGGGAATTTGCTGATCCGATCCTCTGAATCACTACTGGTTTCAGACTTGGATCTCTTATCGTTTCTTGGTTTCGACTTTTTCCTCATTTGTAGATTCATGGATGTAGATATACAGGTATAGAGAGACGTGTATGTGATTCAATTTGGGGGATTCTGGAGAGGTTGAAGAGTTTGCAGCGGCAGAGGGAGGAAGTTTACTCCTGCTTTGATCTAAGGGACTGTTTGGCGAGGGTTGCCATGGTTTGGGAATTCTTCGTCAAGAAAAATGCAAAGACATTATAATAAATAAATAAATAAAATGTTATTAGTATAGAAAAGAGGAAATGAAAAAGGATACTTATTTTTCATTTAATTTTTTAGGGAAGAAAATAAATTGTAAGATTTTTTTTTTTTAATTTTATCAATAAGTATAAATGCGCACAGGACTAAATACAAAATGGGACACAAACCCCTTGTGAGACATCTATATTTGATCTTCTGTATTCCTAATATTGTTCTTTTTATATTTTTCAAGTATTTTTTTCCATATTTTCTCTCCAATTTCTTTTGAATGATTGGGATTTCTCCACTTTGGCTCAGTTTAGATAATACAGAAAGATGAAAGAAAAAGAAAATATATGTTTTTTATATGTTTGTTTAGATAGAAAATCCTAAAAAGTAATGGAAACTAAAATTTCTCGTACAACTTATAATAGCTTGTTAGTTAGGATAATAATTTTTTGCAAAATATATAGAGAAATTTATTTATTTTTTTACAAATCTTGACAAGATTTATTTTTGTCCATATTTCTCTCCACAACTCCCTATTACGCCGTAGTATATTTTTTTTCCATCATTTTGTTACAAATTTTTTCAACTATTCAAATACATACAAGAAAATAATTTTTCGTTTATTTTTACTTTCTTTCACTTCATTTTCTGCCATTTTCATTCTATTACCCGTTTCTTTCTAAACAAACAAAGTCTAAGGCCTCGTTTGGGAAGAAATAAATAGTGTTTGGTTTCAGTTTTTAGAATTTTTTATTTTTTATTTTTCGTATTTTAATGTTTTCAGGGATTTTTTTTTTAATTTTTAAGCACACCTAACATAAGTACACTTAAAAAGTATGATATTTATGAAAAAAATATTTAAAAAATACACTAAATACCAAAAAAATACAAAAAAAAAATTACGAAATTCAGTACATTTTTCATATTTTTGTGTATTTGTTCATTTTTTAAAATATTTTTTCATAATATTTTACTATGTAGATATATCTAAGTAAGGTGCATTTAAAAAAGTAAAAAATTAGTTAAACTTAAAAAAATATTAACTAAAAATTAAAAAATACGAAAAAAAAAAACTCAATTTTTAGAAAATTGAATTCAAAAAACTGAAACCAAACACACGGAATAGTTTTTGCTTAAAAGTCAAAAAGTTATTAAAAAAATCAAAAAGCCTATAACTTATACTAAAAAGTCAAAAAAATCTCTTTTCAACCTACTTTTTGCATATCTCTTCATAAAAAATTAAAAAATCAATTCAAACATACAAATTGTTTTTATCTCATATTTTAATTAAAAAATCAAAAAATTATTAAAATAGCCAATTCCCAAACCAGATCTAATTCAATTTATTTTAAATTTTTCTAAAATATTCGTTGAATAAGTTACCTTCTGAGTTTAAGCTAACTTATTGGCTTAAAAAAAGGGTTCATAATAAACTAATGCGTAAAAGGATTACATTTTTTTTTTACCTTTTTTTGTAAAAACCTTTTAATGATTTTTTTATAAACTTTTTTAATGACTAAAGCGGGATTATACTTTTACTCCTTTCTTTTAACAATTTTATTAAATGATTTAAGTTGACTTTTTGACAAAAAAATAAAAATAGTCAAATAAAAATTGATTTATTTTACAGCAATGCTACAGACCCCAGTGAGGGTGACCCCAGTGACCCTAGTGCCATGTGTCGGCCTGTCATTGGCTGAAAAAAAAAAAAACAATTTGTTTGGACCAATGGGAAGAGACCCCAGCACCCCCACTGGGGGTCCGAAGCTTTATTCTTTATTTTAACATAGAACCCGCAAAATGAATGCCAAGATGAGATTTGTTGATGTACACAAATCCTAATAATTCAAGTTGAATATTGGATGATAAAATAGGCTGGCAATCCTTAAAACAAATTCAATTGTATGAAGACATTTTTTTATATTATATATAACTTCAAAAAATTAAAATTAAAATCATTAGATATGATGTTTTTTTTTCTTCTTTTTTTTGGGGTCTTAATGGCAAAAGTTTATTGAAAAATGACACTTTTAATAATATTGTGTAGGGAGCAATGATTTCAAACACAGACCAGACTGGCCAATCGGACCGGTTGAATCAGATATTGGGCCTTGTTCCGGTCCAGTCAACCCTTGAAACTCGGAGTGGGTGAAAAACTAGTAAAAACCAGTTTTGTTTTTTTTTCTCTTTTCTTTCTTTTCTTATATATTTCAAAATTTTGACTAAAAATTCTTATTTTAAGAGTCTCCTCTCATAAGAAAGAGTCTCATTGAAAACTTGAGATGAGAAGATTATGAAAGTCTATTCATATTTATAGGAAAATATTTTTCAAAGAGAACCTACAAAATTCTATGTGGAATTCAATCAAATTATTTGAAACATAATGATTGGAGGGAGAGTTGAAAATTTCACTTCCCTCCAAAATTAAGCCTATTCAATCAATTTATTTGGAGGAAATGTTTAAAAAATTTAATTTTTTTAAAACATGTGATTTTTTTTTATCAATTATGACTTTATTAAATATTATTAATAAATACTATGCAACAATTTTTATTTTTATTTGATTATTTATATATATTTTTATTTATAGTTATATTTTTTAATTATATAACATTAATTATGACGCCACGGTTCGACCGTTTTGACCCGACGGTTGAACCGATAACCTGTCCACCCGATCTCTTTTCCGGTTCGCTCACCGGCCCGGTTTTTAAAACATTAGGCAAGTGTATGATCTTTGTCGGCTACAACCGAATCTGTGTTCTGTATAGCTCGGTTCTTAAATGTAAGTTTTGGGGCCCAATCAGAAGAATCAGCCCGGTCGGAACGTTCGGGCTTTGGGCTGGGCGAAGTGATTTGCGGAAGCACGGTTTCATCCTCGTCAACAAGGCGTGGCTCAGTTGTGGAAGTCCGAGCGCGCTTGCTGGGCCGAGATGATGAAGGATGGGCGGTTGGAAGGGCTACCACGGCCTCTTGTGTTTGGCCGGATGGTGGTACCTCGGCTTGATTTGTTTCAGTGATAAGGGCCCTAACTGCTCTCTTCTTGGCCATTTCTTGTTCCGCTGTTAATGTTATTAGATTGATTTGGAGTAGGGTTGGATCTGGTTCTGGAGAAGGTTCCAGAAAGAAATCTGTCACCCTTGTCTTCCTTCTACTACTATATCTGTATGTCGGTTCAAAGTTGAGTAGCTCGGCCCAACCTCAATCGCGATATCGTAGTGTGGCGCGGAGTGCATCTAGATTGGGGCAACTATACTGCGACTTTAGATGGTTCAAGTCTGCATAAAGAAAAAAGACAAGGGTTAGTTTTTTTTTAAAAATTCACTAAATACCAAAAATACAAAAATATATATGAAAATTCAGTACATTTTTCGTATTTTTGTGTATTTATTAATTTTTTAAAATATTTTTTCACAATATTTTATTATTTAGATACCTCTAAGTAAGGTGCATTTAAAAAAGTAAAAAAATTACTTAAAATTTAAAAAATATTAACTAAAAACTAAAAAATATGGGAAAAAAAAAAACTCAGTCTTTAGAAAATTGAATTCAAAAAACTGAAACCAAACACACGGAATAATTTTAGCTTAAAAGTCAAAAAGTTATTAAAAAAATCAAAAAACTTATAACCTATACTAAAAAGTCAAAAAATCTCTTTTCAACTTACTTTTTGCACATCTTTTCGTAAAAAACTAAAAAATCATTGTTTTTACCTCATATTTTAGTTAAAAAATCAAAAAAATATTAAAATAGCCAATTCTCAGACCAGATCTAATTCAATTTATTTTAAATTTTTCTAAAATTTTCGTTGAATAAGTTTCCTTCTGAGTTTAAGCTAACTTATTGGCTTAAAAAGAAAGTTCATAATAAACTAATGCACATTTTTTTTTTACCTTTTTTTGTAAAAACCTTTTAATGATTTTTTTTTTTTAAAAAAAATTAATGACTAAAGCGAGATTATACTTTTCCTCCTTTCTTTTAACAATTTCATTAAGAGAAATGCTGAAGACCCCCAGTACGGAAGGACCCTAGCACCCCCACCTCCACGTGAGGGGCTGCTAATGGAGAAGAAAAAAAAAAAAAACAATTTTTTGACCAATGAAAACAGACCCCCAGCGCCCCCACTGGGGGGTCTTATTGCATTTTCCTTTCATTAAATGATTTAAGTTGACTTTTTGACCAAAAAAAATAATAATAATCAAATAAAAATTGATTTATTTTAACATAGAACCCGCAAAATGAATGCCAAGATGAGATTTGATGATGTACACAAATCCTAATAATTCAAGTTGAATATTGGATGATAAAATAGGCTGGCAATCCTTAAAACAAATTCAATTGTGTGAAGACATTTTTTATATTATATATAACTTCAAAAAATTAAAATCATTAGATATAATAGTTTTTCTTTTTTTCTTTTTTTTGGGGTCTTAATGGCAAAAGTTTATTGAAAAATGACACTTTTAATAACATTGTGTGGGGAGATAAAATATTGGCTCAAATCTAAACACAACTGAGAAAAGAGGCCCAAAGGAAAGGGAAAAGCCCAAATAATTGAAAGATTTCCTTTTAGAAAGAGATCGATAGAATGTAGAAAGATCCTTAGATCCATCTTTAGCCAACGATGAAGACAACAAGTAGCAGAGATAGGGATATAGGCCAGGCCTACTTTAACGATACAACTGTTAGATCGTCTTAATTGGACGAACAAAGCATTCGGCAAGTTGGCCACTAAAATCTGATACAATTTAGGGCGCCTGCAGAAAGATGATCCAACGGTAGAGGATAAAGACAACTTGGCCACTTACTCGACCAAAGTTTGGAAGCAGGTAGAGCCTTTAGATCAGTTATTAACGAATGAAACTTAAGACAGAAACACTATAAAAGGAAGGAGTAAGTAAAGCAAGAAGACAAACAAAAGGTAACTAAGAATCATTCTTTAAGAAACATAATATATAACCGATCAACATTCTGACTTGATCGTCGGAAGATTCTTCCGACTATTCTTGGTTGGGGGTAATGACTGACAATTTGGTTTCTCTTTGCAGAGTAAATGAAAGGGCATTTCATCTCG